ACACACACACACACACACACACACACACACACACACACACACACACACACACACACACACACACACACACACACACACACACACACACACACACACACACACACACACACACACACACACACACACACACACACAATTAAATCACACAACTGACACACACACAGCATCTTAGTTCATAACTCACACACATCAACCCTCCTGGGTTCTTATTATCCTTAAAGTTGTAGTGCACCTTCAAGAACAGTTCATTAGTCATCCAGGGAAGAGCTGGGCTTAGCTGTTGAAACAGCGCTGCTATTGATGGGAGGACATGAAGCAGAAAGAGCTCCTGTCAGAAATGCCAGTTCTGCATCCCATGCCTCTGCTTCTCAATGTCCTGCAGTGTTCATCCCACCAAAGATCATTTAAACGTGTCCAGGTGTTGCTCAATTTAGAGTAGAAGCAGGAAGGTTAGGGGAGTTCTTAAAAAAGGAGTGAACAAATGTTTGACAGGTTTGGGATCAAAATGCGTAATGGAAAAAAGAACCGTGTAGTTAACATTCAAACCTGACAATAAATATCAGTGTACTAAATATATCCTGATGCATGCTCAACTAAATATATATAAATGTACTAAATATAAGCTTACAGAAAACTTCTGTATGTAGTAGGATACATATTTATAATGATGTGTGTCTTCTGTCTGACAGGTTGTTATGGTGTGAAGCCCAACTCGGTCAGTTCTTCCTGGACGTGCTGCAGATGCGCAGCAGGAGCCTGGACAGAAGTTAGTAGCAATCATAGTTGATCCTCACACCCAAATCCTAAACCAGATATCTAGGAGAACTCTTGTTTTTTTAGATCCAATATTCAAAATTAATCCTTAAAAGTTACTGTTAAATCTACCTGGGACCCGGCTGTTGAATAAAATAGTTCAAGTGGGTTCAGCTGGGCGACAAATGTCAGAGAAAGTTGTATAGATGCTCGTATATTGGCAACAGGAAGACAGGCTTCCTCCGTTTGGAGCTCAAGGAGGAAAAAAAACAAACTGAATGTACAATAACCTGTTGGTAAGAATGATGTGAACACAGGCCTTAGTGCTGATCTAACATGTCAAATATAATACAGTAGTCCTTCATTTATCGTGGGGGATCCATACCCTGAAGCCCCGTGATAAGTGAAAAGCCGCGAAGTAGAAATAGTAGTAAGTGGTAGTTTATTTTAGTTTGTGTGTATATATATATATATATATATATATATATATATATACATACATGCATACATTTATTTATTTATTTATTAAGGTGTTTTAAACCCTTCTCGCACTCTTGCAATATTCTAAACAATGTTTCTAAATGCTCTAAAAGATCACAGCATGTCATGATCTCTGCTCTCTACCTCCGGCTGCACTCTGCCAGCGCTCTCGGCCACGCCCACTTCTCCTCTGCAGAGCGGAGATATGACACGCAGCAGGAGGGAACTTCACACAGCTACAGAAGCTGTGGGCTGCGCACAGGTGCAGCAGGTGTTAAGTAATTTAAAATAATTTATTTTAAATAAAAATTCCATGCCGATCGTGCGGCTCATCCATCAATCAGCCAATTGTGTGTCATGTTCAATCTTATTTTGAAAAAACCGCGATAGAGCGAGTCCGCGATAAACGAAACCACTCAAAAGTTGATGCAGATTAAATGTTTCAGGGTTTCTGTACCTAAACTGTAATTTTTACCTTTTTGGTTTGTTTTTTAGGAGTGCTGTCTCTGTAATTTACGGGGAGGAGCTTTGAAGAGTACCACAGACAACAAGTGAGTACTTAGATAATTGTATACATTTGCATTTCCAAAGTTGACTGAATATTCACTAATAACGGAACACTAAAGCATTTGTCCTGCCTTCTTAAAACACAAGTAAATACAAAACAACAACTTTATTTTTAAATGTAGAATGGATTTGCTTTTTAAATCATCAAAGTTTCTAAGGGATTGTTTCTGTCTGGCTTCGTGTGCAGGTGGGTCCACATCATCTGTGCTATTGGTGTGGCTGAAGCTCGCTTCATCAATGCCATGGAGAGAGAACCAGTGGATGTCAGCGCTATCCCAGAAACCCGCAAGAATCTGGTAGGTTGTAAAATAGGTCAGCACATAAATCTGGTCAGACTGACATTATGTTAACAACTCTTTCTGATGAAACCTAAACTTCTCTGTACTTCTACCCACTGTGGTGGTTTAATTTCTTGTACTTCTCCAGTCTTTTCCAGTACCAAGGCAGATTGCTTTTTTCCTGTTCATTGCCTCCGTTTTTGTCACTTTCTCCCGTTACTCTACTTCCTTTCCTGGTGGATTGATAGATTTTATTTTATTTATTTTATTTATTTATTTACTTTTTGTGAGAAGTGGGGTAAAACAGACATGCTGAGGGGAATGGCTGAATAATCAGCTGTCATTTCTCACTGCGCCAAATGAACTGCATCGATCTTGTGGGCTGGAAGCAATCTCCCCATTGCTGCCGCATCTTTGAACACAACTTGTTCAGTGCTTTTCTTTTCTTTTCTTTTTTCAATCCCTGTTTCACAGTCTCTGCACCCTTTCGCGTGATATCATTGCTTGCTGGTACATTATCACAAACTCGCAAATAATGTCACCTCTCTCCCTCCTCTTCTCTGTGAATAATCTATCAAAGACAAGCTGGTGACATTTGCATCGGAGTGCTGTCAAAGCAGGATTCTTCCGTCTCGTCTTAAAAAGCTTTGAGAAGAAGCTGTGCACTCTAATGATTTGGATGACTGGGCTGATCAAATGTGAACACATGCACCCATGAAACCAGTTTTTTTTTTTTGCAACATTTTTAGCAGTTGCTGTTTCCCTCCTACCCTTGAGCACTTGGCTCTCAAGGATGGAGAGTTTTTGCACAAGTTGCTTTATTTGTCTCGTTTTTAAAACTTTTAAGCACAACCCCCCCCCCCCCCCCTGAAAATTCTTTAAAAATGTATCTTTTCAAAGTTTTTGTTTAGTCTTGCACCTTCAGTGATTGTATTGAATTTCCAGTTCTGAACACAGTCCTAAAGGCCAGCAACATAAATTAAGTATTTACAACTACAACTTTCATGCTAATCCCAAAGCATCAAACTAAACAGCAACTTGTTTAATTTTGACTTTATCAGCTCAGGTAAAGCTCTGTCTTAAAGTTGTAGTTCACTGAATGACTGTTGAAGACTAGTTGACGACACAAACTTGGATCGATCCTACCTCATTAGCATAACAGGCAGATGAAATGCAACCTGACCATTCAGACTGAGGCCACTTTGAAAGACATCCAATATGAATCCAATTTAGTGCCACATATGAAAACCACCCTGGTTGTATTTGAAAAAATAGAATTAGTCACAATCATAAAATATTGGATTTGGGCCACTTTTGCCTACAGCAAGGGCATCAGAAGCATCCGTAATGTGGGGGGGACACAATGATGTGTGTAGGTGTGTGTGCGCGCATGTAAAAAAAAAAGGTGTTCACTAGTGTACAAAAAAGCAACATTTCACCTAGATTTCCTTTAATTCCACACATTTAAAACATGTTTTTCACCAAGTTTGTGTAAATTCAGTTGTGGGTTTAAAGTAATTTTAACTTTAATACACTTTAATACAGAGCGTCAGGTCGGCACTATTTGTGTTTATTGTGAAATAAAAAACATCACCACTAGACATTTTTACTTGTGTTCAACACTACTCATCTAAATGATGTTTCTCATGAAGCTTGAGAACAATGAGGGGTGGGGTTTTAAAGACATTTCACCTTTATGCACCTGAACCCACAGCGTCTCTTACACCTCCAGCGTCTTACAGCGTCACAGTTACTGCTAAGCTAAGATGCTACAGACGTAGCGCTCCTCTCAAGCATCCTCCTAACATGAATAAATGTTTATGATCAACCAACAACTGCCTGCACTAAGCTCACTAAACTGGCATGCGAGTAACACAGAGGTGTCTCCATCTCCTCCATCTGTGTGCGTTTTCTGCCGAGGCAGGAGGAAACACTGCAGGTGTTACACCATATTCTGTGACCACCGTATATTGTGACCGTGGCAACAGGCTGCTGTGTTTAGAGTTGGAGGTAACCAGGAAAACCTGGAGTGGAGTTTTAGTGGTTTGAGTATTCTATTAATCAAGTGGAATGGATTTTTTTTTCACAAAGAAAGAAACTGCGCCGACTGAACTAATGTTTCATAGTAAAGGGGGGGTCAAAATGAACGTTTTTTTTAATGTGGGGGGGACTTGTCCCCTTCACATATAATGGTTGCGACGCCTATGGCCTACAGAAAACAAGACAGTAAAATAAAAATAAAAACCTTGTATCTGTTCTACAACAGATTTCCATACATTAGTTTTTGAGTCTACTGTATAGATGCAAAGTGAGCAAAACTCAAGTATCGACATAATAAAAAATAAACTTCATTGATCAGCATTGTGCTGCAGCTGCACACAGTGATAGACAGATAGATAGGTATATAAGTAGATAGGTAGATAGATACCGGTAGATACCGATGGATAGATACAGGTAGATACCGATAAATAGATACAGGTAGATACCGGTAGATAGATACCGGTAAATAGGTAGATATATAGATATATAGATATATAGATAGATACCTGTAAATAGATAGATACCGGTAGATAGATATTTTTTAAATAGGAGTTAACACTGAAAAAAACGGAGGGAGAAACAGCGCATGCGAGGGACTGGAAAAACAGTGCGTCAGATGGTAGATAATCACTAAAGACCATATTCATCCAAATTAAAATTAATAAATGTATTATATTTCTTCAATTAAGCCAAGCTGCCCAGAGAATAGTTAGTCTGTTACATCGCCGGCTGTTGGCACGAGTTGAAATTACCACTCGCCTTTTTCTGATCCACTTCATTTAAATTCAGGGTGCATCCTTATTCAGCTTTTTGAGGTAGATATAATTGCTGCTGTAACTAATAATCAGTTATGCCCTCCCTTTCATAACATTTTACACATATTTGTAATTTAATCCAGTTGGGTAAGAGACCCTTACATGGTGTACGAGATGTAAGTTTGACAAGAGAAGCTTTAGTGACCGACTCGTCTCCTGTTCGTCCTGCTGTCAGATCGTCCCCCTGCCAAAATATTCAGCCATCTTTTTATTTACAGTTTTCTTTTATGATCTGCCTGTCTTTTAACATAATTAACAAAATACTTGAATCATCCACTCCAGGCAGGATGGAGTGGATGGAGAAAAGTTTCAGGAGTGATTTGCGACAAAAGGATATCAGCAAAGGTCAAAGGAAAGTTTACAAGACAGTTGTGAGACCAGTTGTGTTGTATGGTCTGGAGACAGTGGCATTTTCAAAATGGAGAAAGAACTGGAAGTGGCAGAAATGGAGATGCTGAGGTTCTCTTTAGGAGTGACAAAGATAGATAAGATTAGGAATGAGATCATAGTTCTTCATTTGATACAGTGAGTTAGTATTTTAACAAGACGTTTGAGTAGTTTTTTATGAATTGTAGCTGAAATAATTTGAACTGTCTCAGTGTTGTTGGAGTCAGATTACAATTTTTTAAATACTGAGGTCAGACTCATATTTTCTGTATTTTGTAGAATATTTTAAATGTAAACTAAAGCAGAAAAATTGGAGCCTTACTTTGTTTCCATTATGGAAGAAAAAACAGTTTAATATATATTTATTTTTTATATTGCAGAAATGTGTGTTCTGCCATTCAACAAGTCCCACTCGGACCCAAGGCGCCTGCATCCAGTGCACCTATGAGAACTGTGCTACCTCCTTCCACGTTACATGTGCTCAGGTCGCTGGAGTCGTGATGAAACCTGCCGACTGGCCCTACCTTCTATCGGTCACCTGCCACAAGCACAAGAAGAGCCCTCAGAAGGTAAATTAAAACATCCATCCATCCATTCATTCATTATCTTCCACTTGTTCTGAAGTCGGACCGCGTGGGCAGCGGCTTGAGCAGGGAGGCCCAGACATCTCTTTCCACAGCCACCTCTTCCAGCTCTTCTGGGAGGATTCCAAGGTGTTCCCAAGCCAACCGAGAGACATAGTCTCTCCAGCTTGTCCTGGGTCTTCTCCTGGGTCTCCTCCCAGTCGGACATGCACGAAGCACCTCCCTAGGGAGGCACTCAGGAAGCATCTCTACTAGATGCCCGAACCACCTCAACTGGCTCCTCTCGATGTGGAGAAGAAACGGTTTTACTCAGAGTTTCTCCCAGATAACTGAACTTCTCACCCCATCTCTAAGGGAGAGTCCAGCTACCCTGCAGAGGAACCTCATTTCGATCACGTGTATCCGCAATCCCATTGTTTCAGTCACTACCCAGAGTTCATGGCCATACGTAATTGGTAAATGGACTATACTTATATAGAACCTTTCTATCTTGTCAAGACTCCCAAAGCGCTTTACACTACAATCTGTGCCCTCATTTACCCATTCATACAGCTCTCTACTAGATCTCTACAAGCTAATTGAACAAATCATTCTAACGTGACTCAGAATCAGAGCTTTAGATCACATTCATACACCAATGGGACACACCGGAGGCAATGAGGGTTCAGTGTCTTGCCCAGGGATGCTTTGGTATGTGGCTGCTGGTGGAATCAAACCCACAACTCGTGCATTGTAGGACGACTGCTCTAACCACTCACCCACAGCCGCCTCAGTGAGGGGGTGAGGGTAGGAATGTAGACTGATCAGTAAACAAAGAGCTTTGCAATACAGCTCAGCTCTCTCTTCACCACAACGGACCGGCACAGAGTCCACAATACTACAGACACTACACCAATCCACCTGTCAGTCTCGCGCTCATTTCTTCCCCCACTCATTTTTTTGAACAAACCCCCGAGATACTTGAACTCCTCCACTTGAGGCAGAACCTCGACCCAAATCACTTTTTTCCAATGTTAAAACATATATCAAGAAAATAGTAATGTGTTTTAAACTTAAACTAATAAAATTATAATTTTTTTCAGTGTGGTGTTCATTTGGTATAAGTGGAAAAGATCAACATTTTAACTTTTTTTGGGGGGGTGGTGCTTTGAAAACTTGATTAATTGTAACAGTGTGTTTTTGTGTGTTGGTGTCATAATTATGAAAACATAATAAACCATTCCTTCATGTTTTAGGATGTTTTCAAATTGAACTTATTTCTTAAAGGAATTTATATTTTAAGCACCGCCTTCAATTGTTATTTACATTTCAGTCCATGCATCATAGATACGTGTTGGCATTAATGACAGAAAAACACAGTTCCTATTAAATACTAGTTCAGTTTGAGGTCCATTGTCTTGTCTGATCTTTTCCCCTTTCTTTCAGACTCGAACAGTGTATCCTCGAGTAGCCTCCCCGGTTCTTGATGTGGGTAGAAGGGTGATTGGACGTAACGCTGACAGCTGGTTCTACCCCTGCACCATCATCGGCATCGCCACACAGACATTTTATGAGGTCAACTTTGAAGATGGCTCTTACTGTGATAACTTGCAGCCAGAAAATGTTATAGTGAGTGTTTTTTTTAAATTTTTTTACTTAACCTGTGTATAGCTCATAGCTGAAACTTTAAAATACCTACACAGATATCCTAGCAACGTATGTATGTTTTGTAGGCTGAGCATCTTGAAAATGTAATGACCTTAAAAACTGTAGATTACCCTTAATGTCAATGTTTTGGCAATAAACAGAACTTTATTTATAATAAATCCCTAAATTATTAAACTCTACTCCAAAAGGTGTTTAAACAAATAACCATGTGGAAACTATATGTACTTGTTAAACGTAATTTAATTAAATTTTTTTAGAAGATAAAACTAAGCAACCAAAGAAACTGAATTTTATTTTATAGAAACAATGCATGCAGAGATCTGAAATCTGGTATTTCTGCTTAAATGACTCCTTTCACTTTCTTTTCGTCTTTCCTGTCTGTGTTTCTGTCTTTTCCTACTGCTTTCTCCAGAGTCACGACTGTCTGCATCATGGTCCTCCTGTCGCGGGTAACTCGATTGTGGTCGTCACACCTGATGATAAAATCCTCAAAGCTACTTTTGTCAAACAGCATGCCAACAAGGTTTTCCAGGTGAGGAAAGCTTTATTTCTTCATCTTCAGGTTACAATTACTTTTTAATGCCCTGTACAGTCAAATATGGGATCCAGAGTTACCATTTAGACAATAATGTTTTCAGGGAAGTGACCTGTATGTGGAAACATTAGGAGAAATAGAAGTTTATTTATTCTTACATTACAAATGTTTCCTATTAAATCTTTCTCAAAAAAAAAAAAAAGAATGATAAACTATGTTTCTCTGCTTTCAGATGCTTTTGTGTTGAGATAAAAACATTTCTCCAGCTAATCAGAGTCTGAGCCACAACCCTGACTTTTTTCTCTTTCACAGATTAAAAAAAAAATTTAAACAAGTGTTTCTATTTAGAGTTCTTAACTGAGGCTCTTATTCTTATTTTTTTATTTACTGACCAACCCTTAAGCTAATTTATTTAACTGACGTGTTCTGCTTTAGTTTGGGAGTTGCATATTTTTGGAGGGGTCTAGTGTCACAATTAACCAGAATTTAGATTTTTGTTCTGTCTTCCCTGCGGCTGATTGTTTCCTGTTCTCTCAGAAGAAAATACACTGAAAAGACATGATGATTAATCTTCTTTTTTTAATATACATCTAGGTTGAGTTTCAGGATAAAAGTCAGCAGATGCTTAAACAATCGGATATCTTTACCCTGGAGCAAGAGTTGCCCAAAAGGGTCCGAACCCGACTGGTGAGTATTTTGCTTTAACTAAGTGGCTCTCATACACCGACCAAGTGACAAAGAAATCAAATCACACTTTGGCAAAATGGTTCACATTATCTTTACTTACATTGTTGTGAACATACATTTGTTTGATCTGGGGAAAAATAAAAGTAATTTTAAAATGCACAAGTTATGGCCAAATCAAATAAGTCAAAACAAAAAATAGTTTTTATATTACTAACAAGGTTGAGTCAGGTCATCTGGATGAGTTCTTCTTAGTTGAATCTTTTCAACAAAGAAGAACCGATCCAGAGGACCTGACTCAACCTTGTTCAATTTATCTACCTGGATTATTGAGCATGCATCTGATTAAATGCATGTATAATTTGGTACTTTAGCAAGAAGACTGGATTCACTGCCTTAAAAACCAGCTGTCATCTTAGTTTGAGTAATATCTTTGTCAGAAAAAAATATTCTATCTACAAGAGATGGAAAAAAAAAACATGTTTTACTTTGTCTAAATCTGTGTTTGTTGCTACTTAATTGTTTTAAAATAATTTTCACAGACAGTATTATTATGCAAGTTTTATTTTATTTTTTTTATCAACGTTTCTCTTATGACCTCAAAAGTTTTTCCTGTGAACTACACAGAAAAATGCGACTCAGCCTCCAGTTCTGAAAAGTGAATCTACTCGGATTTGTTTTTACCGAAAACTGTACAACAGTTTGAACTTGAACTCAACAACAAAACCATTAGCCATAAAATGTGTACCAGAGCGTGCACTCATTTGAACTCTGTAAGAGAGAGGCCTACTGTTTTTATAGATTTTATCCTTCTGGTAAAAATCCCATCTGTTACCCTTAATCTGATTTGAGAGGGGGGGGAGAAGTTTTGGAAATTTTGATCTTATGGATATGTTTATTCTTCCCACTTGCTCTCGACGAAGGCGAACGCTTTTCCCTCCTGCTCCTGTTTCCCTCCTGCTTTTGCTCTGTCTTGTGAGTCCTATCGGAGCCTGTCTTTACATATCTTCCGAATTGTAAATTATGGATCTGGTCAACTGGTCTCTCAAAGCAACTGATAAAGTTTTCTCGACAAGAAGACAGGGCGAAGGAGAGCCCTCTTGCCCTGACGGGACACTTGCAGCTGGATACACAATGGATTCCTGGAGGCAGTGGAAGATCGTGTGTGTCCGTATTGTCCGTTGAGGATGTAGAATACGCGTACATAATTGGATTCATGGTAACAGGATTTCTGGGGTTTTTTGAGTTGGTGTTCACCTGGCATATCGACAAATATGGAAAACATCGGCAGTTGTTCTGGCCATTGCAGGGCTGCCCGGCTTGTGTGAAGGAATGTGCCGTGCGGTGAACACTCAGACTCAGATGCTGTGTGAGCTGAGCCATAAGCTGGATGCGATTACTGAGAATCGCAGGACACTTGTGGCTCCTGAAACTCGCAGGCGAGAAGGAATTGACCTTGGAGAAGCTACAAGCTCGGCCCAGCGGTGTTGACCCCCAAATTTGGCTGTTTGGAGTCGCCATTGAGATGTACCAGTAGGACTGTAAGGGAGACAGAAAATCAAGCAGAATCAGTCTGACCCAAAATAACTGTTATTTAAATCTGACTCCCCCGTGTTGACCTTGAATTGGCCAACTATCTCAAACTCTCCTGGATGTTATGTGAACAAGAAACTCTGCTCCCCCACCCGCTCCCTTCATGAGGACATCTGTGGACCTGTATCAGAGCTGAGCCGGCTGATAGACACTGATCTTTTATTCGGACTATGAGGACTATCTGGCAGTGTCCACGGACAAACTCACCACCTTCGTCGGCCCTCCCCATGTATATATGTATCATGATGTCATCAGTATGTCGCTGCTTCTGTGCTGAGGTTATTTTTTTGCAACTTTCACAGTGTCCCATCTAGGACACAGTGAGAAATATGATTTTTTTTTAAATATCTCCCCTTCCCCCGTGTTTCTCTTTTCCTATCTAAACAAAAAAGGCAGCACCTCCCATGGGGCTGCGGCCTCAGACACCTTCGTCCTCCCATGTCTATTTGTTTATGTTTTACTTGGACGGGCTGTACTGAAATGTAATTTCGTTGTGCTTTGGTGCAATGATAATAAAGCTGATTCTGATCTTGGACTGAAGTGTAGTGCAACGCCTGCTGGCTTTTTTAGGTCATATTTTGCACATTTAAAATGGCTGGCAAGGGACAATACTTTTTACATGCAAAGAAGCGTACTTCAGAAACAATCCTTTTATTAGTTTTGTAAACATTTTAAATGAGTTTATGGTCAATGTTTCTAGTTTCATGTCTTACGCATCACAGGCTCATTTCTTTTTAAAATTACAGTCCATTTAAAGCAAATGAGACAATAAACAGGGAGTGCATTAGCGTAAGGCGCTCTGGTGATTTAGAAGTCATTACCACATTAGTGTCCTTAGGTCCTCAGACACATTCTTCACTCGTGATTTTTATTAAACCAAGATGGCGATGGCCAAAATGCTAACTTTAAAATGGTCTCAAGAAATGTTTTAGAGGAGTTCAGATCAAGGAATTTTTTGAAAGATCACGTCTCTGAAGGCGAGACACAAGTGAAGGGACGTGTCAGTATATATCTGACTTGATGTTTCTCCATCTGTTACAAATGCAAGTCTTTCTGCTTTCAGGCCATGCCTACACCACAGTTGGAGGTTTCCCCTGTGCATGAAGCCCAAGCAACTAAACGCCCCCGCCAGCCCTCCAGCTCAGCTAACCTCAAGACTGCAGCGCCAGCACCAGCACCAGCACAGAAGCGTCGCAGTATTAGCGTGCAACCAAATATAAAGCCTCAGACCCAGCCTATCAAACAGGAAGCCCCCACCCCACTCAGCAGCAATAAGATGGATGCAGAAACCCCAATGGACACGAGTGCTCCCCGCACTAACACACTTACAAAACCACCCTTGGTCTCTGACCCCACATCGTCGCCGCAGTCCACCTCTGTTCAAACCACTTTAAACTCTGACCCCCTTCAGTCCCCGCCTTCCACTGCTCCGCCAGCCCAGCACATGTCTGACAGCTACATGCCCAGCAGCGGCTATGTGTCCTACATGAAGAGGCTCCTTCATTCACGTTTCCCTCAGGACGATGGCCCCAGCCACTTGTATTAAAAACCAACTCCATTGTTATTACTCGGCCGATGAAGGCCGAGTCTGCAGGAGGTGGGCTAAAGGAGGCGGACTCTTGAGTGCTGTATTATGGGACAAACTTTTCCTCCTTCAACTTGGAAAGCTGCAGGAGTGAACAGGAAGAGACACAAACTCACAAGCACTCTTTTAATGCATGTTTTCTATGTTTTGAGTTTATGTATTTGCAGTGGTGCTTTAGCTTGCTCTACAGCAGCTGAAGAGCAGAACATTGTTGTTTTTTTTACTTTTATTTCTAAGGTTATTAATTTGGTGCGTTTTATTTTTTGTTAGTTTGTATTGCTTTTTGTTTTTGTCCAGCTGCTGTTTTTTTTTTTTCCATCTTGATAAATGAATAATTCTCTAGGTGGCATCAACTTCATACCTCGTTGCATTTGTTCAAAAATGGCACACTCTTGATGTCTTTCTAAAGGAAACCGGTGGTTATTGGAGCCTCTCTGAAGTGAAGTTGTTGCCAACTTAAACTTTGCTAACTCAAGTAACCAGCAACTAGATACTTATTTTTCAGTTAAAAAAAATAAAAAATGGTGGATTGAAACTGTCGCATTTCTCATCTGCAGAATATTTCAGGCAAGGTGTGCTCTTGTGAAAATGCAGGAGGTAAAGGGGGGTAGGGGTGGGGGGTGAAAAGAAATGTATTGTAGCGGGAATTCAGTATTTAAAAGTCTTAGTCAAATATTAAAATTATTTGTTATAGAGCAAATGTGTTGAATGCAAACACTAGTAGTTTGAAGGATGCATCGTTTTGTGAAGATGTGTCAAAGTAGTTAACGGATGGCATCTTTGTGTATTTACATCATTTGGCAACACCACTTTTTCACACAAACTATCTCAGGGGTTCCTACAAGTGAGAAACAGGTCTTCTAAAGGTTGAGGGCATGCGTACGAGCCAGGATTTGCCCTCACTCATAATTGGGCTTACCTGCTACATATTCTGCCAATTTGCTTGTTTTGGCCGTCCGAGCGATGTCTCCATTCATTGTTACAGAGATCCTAAAAACACTTTAAGCAGCCAACGGGCTGGTTCTTCAAAGAATAGGAAATGTTTTAGAAAAAAAAAAAAAATGTAGGAACCCTACAATTGGGAGTCCATTGCACCATTTGTTTAAAATGTATGTATCAATTTCTAAATTAATTTACATATGTTTTTTTTCCTATTCGTGTCCTCGTCTATATTGAGTTTCTGAAATGAATCCGCAAACTTGGCCAATCAAAAATAATAATGCCTTCCTTTTGGGTGGGGTTTCTAAATGTATCACACAATTTCTTATAATCTTTTTTCTTGTCTTTCTAGCATATGACCTTTCTGTGCTAAATAGGTGCTACAGAAACTAAACTACTGATCTCTCATAACGCTGTCCTGATGTAAATACCACAGGCCTTGTTTGGATTCATATTTGTAAATGTCACGTTACTTCTTCCTTTTTCGCTGTCAGAACTGAAATATTTGAACAGAGACGTGTTTGCATTTCTAAATGAGATTCATTAAACAATAATTAATGAGCATTAAAGTGGGTTATAGTCGCCAACTCTTCTGAGTTTTGTGTGATTCAAAAAGTGTTTTCTTGGTCTTGTAATGACATTTTGTTGATTACAAAAACAACATACACACCCCATTATTTAAAAAAAATCCTCTGTATAAAATATGCTTTTCAATACATTATGTTTATGCACCTGTACATGTTTTCATTTTAGTTGAAAGAAAAGCGCTTGCAACAAGTTTAGTTTGGAAAATTAGAATTTTATAGTTCTGCTTTTCTGTTCCTTTAATAAAAAGTATCGTATGATCACTGTGGGTCATGTTAGTGTCACCACAAGGTTTATTGATTTAGTTTGCTTTCTGTTGATTTGCTGTAGTCCACTGCCATCTGTGGCATCATATAAACATAGATAAATTGTCTTTCTCTCTGCAAAAAATTGCAATAAATTTCCCCAAACCTTTTAGCTTCCGACACTAATAGCAGTAGCAGGAACGTGTGCCAATTGGTGCTGTTTGAAATTTACACTTTACTTTTGAGCCAATTAGGAGTCCTGGAGACAACTAGCACAATATTGAAAACATGCAATAATGCTGAATTATACAATGGCAATATAAGTCAGCGTTTTTCCTCATTTCTCTCCTTTTCTTCATCATTGTCATCACAACGCTCCAAATATTCCATGTGCGTTTTGGCAACCATCATGCAAGTCAGCAGTGGGGCTCCATCTGAACGCCAAATATCTTCCTGGCATGCAGTTGGTGTCTGATTCATTACAATTTTCAGCAAGATCATTATTGCACACACTGGTATAACAAAAAAAAAAAAAATTTTTTTTCTATAGCATCCCTAATGGAAACCAACAATCTCAACTATTATACTTTTGTTTAAATTTGTGACTATATCTTTGACATTAAAATCCAAAATATTTAAAAATGTATTTTAAATTCTGAATATCATTTCAAGACCCCACCTTATTGTTCTGACCCAAACTTTGGGAACCTCAGCTCAGAAAGTTGACTCCTCCATTAGGATTAGTGTTTGAATCCATACTAGACAAGTAGAATTAGTTTGTTTGCTATTACTATATATTATTTTTTGCTGGCCTTGTTTAATTTGTTAGCAACTAATAAAACTTGAATCAAAAGTTGTAGCCAGGATTGAAATGAGAAGCTTATGAGCTGAGGAAAATCTATTTAAGAAACTGGAAAAAAAAAATATTTAGGATAATACCTTTGAGAATTCTCTGGTGGCTCCAGCGAAGTTTGTATTCATTCACTAATGGTGAAAAATAATTGAGGTTATCAGGTTGCCTGGTCTTTAGTGTGTAATCACCTTTATTTTTAAAGGCAATCTTCTATTCCTCCCTCAGATGAGGGGATGTTTAAGAGCCAATAAGTGACAGCATCAGCAGTACTGCTCATTGTTCATTGGCAGGATTCCTGGATTAAGCAGTCAGCAGGGACCTGCGTTCATGAGGCTGTTAACTGGAAACACAAGTTATTATACACGATGCATACATATTTAGGTAGCTTAAGCTATTTGCCACTTGCATTAAGAAAAAGGGAGGTGAATAAGGTGGAATAACTGTCACCTTTGTTTTTTTCTGTCTGTATTTTTGAGCACTAACCATTATGGTCCAATCATGTTACCTCACAAAAATTGGAAAATACATTTGACTTAGAATTAAGTGTAGAAATGCGCAAAATGTCAGAAACATACATGTTTCACTTTGTAGCTCTTCCAAATTGCAATTAAATTAGGTTAATTGCCAAAGGAAGTACATTTTTTTTGACAGAAGTGCACTTGTGTGAACAATGTTCCATTTAACTTGGAGAATAATCTGCTGTTTCTGGAAGAAGAAAATATGAACACTTCTCCCAAGACCTCCTTCAGCCCACTGTGGGTTAAAAAGTTTGACAATTGTTAGCCGTGCCTTGTTTTTTGGACCTTCCATGAAAATGACAGTTCAGATTTGAAATGTGGTTATGAAGCTGTATTGAGCATTCAATATCTTACCTGCAGTAGACAAAAGTTAAATTATTCTCAGCTTAGAGTTGGGGAGAAATTCCACAAAATAAACAACAACAAAAAAACAATCTAAACAGGAAAAACCAAGGCTGTGAGGCTAAAATTATTTACATTATTTATCATTATTTACAATTATGACCCTCACAGCATCGGGGACCATCAACCTGTGGGTGAAGACGCTTTTGAATCAGTACATTTTTATGTAGATACTGCCTGATTAAACCTCCAGGTTCCTGTTGCAGCTCTTCTTAGCCTTTTTTCCTCTCTTGTTTAGTTGTCATACTGTCTCACATCAAATGTGTAAAAATAAACTTGAGTTTTATTTGTGGACAATAGATGTGGAGGTTTCTGTGGAAACAAATCCAGCACATGAGTCACTGATATTTTATTTAAAGCAAACACTTCTTTCAATTGGGAACATTCAATGCATCTTGACTTATTTATTTTGTTTGGTTTTGAAAAATGAAAAAAAATAAAATACATTTTTTTGGCACCAAAAGTCAGTGATACAGGATATAAACGGATCAAAATTTGTTTTTCCAACAGTATCAGAAGTCCCCCCCCCAATTATGTCCTGCATAAGCAGAATTCACTCAAACTCTTTAGCCCAAAGTGCTTCAAAATTTTAAAGGAACCAGTTAAGATAGAAGTTACAAATGGTCAATTAAAGAACAAGAAGTCTTAAAGACAAATTGCCAGTATGGGTGTTCGCTCTTCCAGTACACACAAACAGACTATAGCTGTGCATATGCCCAGCCAGTCTCGCCCTCACTGGAAAAGGGTGACCATTAACATTCTGGAGTGTCCACAGTCTCTTTGCAGAGGAACTAGGGTTGTGTCAGCTTTACAATCACTTTAACAACTCAGGACTTTCATTTATTTTTCCTCAACCGAGCCCGGCCGGGGAACACGCAAGGCGAACCGAGTAGAACGGACTCTCAAGGACAAACGTTAATGCCGACCCATCTGTAGTTTATTTGAGCAAAGGAGCAAGAAACTTTTAGTATTTTCCAGCAAAGACAAGATGGCTTTGGGAACGAGGTGCATTACTGCTGCTGAGGAAGTCGCACATGCCTGTGCGTTCAAAGTCCATGAGTACTAGTGTGAGTGTGTCCATCAAAATGTCCTTCAGGATGACATTTAAATCTCTTACCTAACGGTTGACTATCACACAGCTGAATGGCTTGCATGGAAATGGAAATTGCTGAATGCAGTTGGATCTAATTGCAGATGAAAGTGGCAATTATGTTGACAAGCTGGTTGATATGACAGGCTCCATTATAGCCTTAAGCTTTTATTACATTTCTGCCATGTAAATCACATCACTGAAGCAGTATCATACCGTAATGACTTAGTAGACTTCCATCTGTCAGGACTGTCTTTCATTTAAAGAGGAGAAGACGAAATTATTAGTGGTTCCTCATCTGTATGAACTCCTCCAAATATCGAAGATGTCGCAGTGAAGTGCATGATTGGACAGCGATTAAGACCCCCCCACCCCCCAGTGGCCATGTTGAATCAGTAACATTTTGGCAAGAGAAAAAGAGGGAACATGGTCTAAAAATCAGATGAGTAAAAATAATTTCTTGGCTATTTGTTTATAATCGGTTGCACCATGGTGAAGCGGTGAGTAAAGTCACTTTATAACAAAGAGAATGCAGATTTGAATCTCGTGGCTTTTCCATAAAACAGTTCTGCAAAATGGCTGCACAGTCCAGTCTGTCTTTATGCTGCCGCTGGCT